CCTATTGGAGGCAATTTGTAAGATCTGCAGTGAAGATCTAGCTGTGCTGGATGTGATCTTAACTTCCAGAAAAAGGGAAAGAGTTTGTCCAGAGGAGGACACAAATGCCCTGAATTCCAGTTTACATGTTCCTGTACCAACGCTGAAGCACAAGAGCGCTTTTCGGGCAAAGGCAGAAGGATGCACAGACCACAGGGCTGTGCTTCAGATGCAGGACTGGGTCCCAGAGTTCCCACAGTTTTACAGGCACACTGTCAGGAGCATCCTCCTAATTATGCACCTGAACAACACCCAAAACCCTGGTGACCACACCTGTTGGCTCAGCCAAGGGTACTCACTTCTGCTGTTTGTCTTTGCCAGGCAACAGAAAGTCCTACTGAGATCTGCATGCCGAGTTAGACAGCCCAGCTTCCCACTGTCCTGCTCGAGGAAGACCTGTCTGGTACTTGACTGCAGATCAGCAAGTGGCTGAGAAGGAAACGTCTCCCAGATGCCAGGCAATGCTGTTGGGTTTACCAAAGCTCGTGGTAACGCTCTGCCCCAGCAAGAGGGTAACAATCCAGGAGTCAGGAAAGGAACTGCCTCAGTGCTTCAGTCCATAGCACAGCTTGTTATGTGAAGTCCAGCCCCTCAGAGACAGAAATCCCACTGTGGTGCCTCTGAAATAGAGCAGGGAAACAAGGTGAATCACTTACTGGGCACGTGAAATCAGCAACTCATTTGATTTCCACAAAATCCGGGAAAAGGCTACTTAGGGACAAAGACTAACGATGTCTTGAGACTATTAAAATTGTGACATAGAGCTAGAAGGGATCTGGCAGGGCTTAGTCCAGCCTGCTCTAGAAGTGCTCAAGGACCCAGCAGCTCCCCAGAGCCTCATCCAGTGCAGCAGAGTGCCTGGCATCAGATCCCTGCTTTTTCTTCACAGGAAGCATTGCACCAGTCAGCACCTGCTCTGGGGAAGTGAGCTGTGCTTAAACCCAGGATCATTTCAGCCTGTGGTTGTTGGACCATCCCACTGCCCGAGGCTGTACCTTTGCTCACAAGTCCACGCCGTACTCGGGGCAGGGCTTGCTGTGTCGGTATTGCATGATGTACACCGTGGACTGGTGCCACCAGTACAGCATCACCACTGCCAGGATGTGCCACACCTGGTGGCTCGAGCCGAGGTAGTTCAGCTGGCCTGTGGGCAACAAGGGTGAGGGGTTAAGCTGTGAAATTCAGCAACAGCGAGTGCAGTGCAGTCAGCAATCAGCCTCCTGCAGAGCTCCTGCACACCCTGCACTTGGGGGGAGGCGGGGCAAGGGGGCAAGTTCTTTAACGAACTCCATGGAAGTTGTCTGCCTCTTCTGATGCAAACATGTGCACCATTTTTCTCTGCATGGGAACATGGTCAGCCTTCTCTCCCAGGAAGTTCACCCACAGCAAGGACTGTGATGCTGCAGGAAAAAAAAACACCCAGAAGAGAATTTCCTACCTGGGAAGTATCTTTCTGGAACTTTGGAAATATAGAAGAGAAAAGCTACAGCAGCGATGAAGTACATGACAACTACCCGTGGAGCAAACTCCTGCAAAAGAAAAGGAAGCTCTCCTGTTAGAAAGCAAAACCAGAAAAAAAAGTCCCTGAATATAAAGAAGAAAACAGCATGAAAACCCTGAATCTTCCTTCACTGCCTGTGTCAGCTATGGACAAATCCAACAGGGAAACAAATGCCCAACTCTGAGAAAGCCTGAATGGGCATAAACTTGTTTTATTCTGACCTTTCTGCTTCTACACACAAGGTACCCAGTGTTCACATGCAGCCTGCAGCAGACATGGCACTTGTCAGTGAAAGGCCATTTGCCTTACAAGGATTGCATAAGAGACAGAGGGCTGAGCAGGCAAATGCTGATTGCTGCTGCCAACCCAGGGAATTGAAGAGGAAGCAAATAATTGCCCCATCAGCAAATAATCACCCCTGGTTGCCCTGTGGAGCTGTGGAGGTGGCCAGCCCCGAGCACTAATGCAGCCTGACAGACTGCTTCCTGCTCCACAGCCACCTTGGCTCCTGGCCCTGGCCCGGTGGAACGAGGGTGCGGTCTGCCCCCCTTGGCTGCTCCGTCCCCAGGCAGGGACACACCTCCATCCAGCTTCCTTCTCACCATGCAGGTCTAAGGCAGTACAGCAGGCTGAACATATACAACCTGTCTACCCTGATCACATTTTTAAGTGTCTGCATTTGGATTGTACCGACCAAAAGAATTCTGTACCTGAAGGAATTTTAACTCCTGCTGCTTCCCCATCGCTTCCCTGAGTGTAAGAGGACTCAAGAAAGATGACAAGTGAAAAGCAAAAGGGAATCTTATTTCATTCTTTTTTCTTACCTGTACAATGGATGCACTAATGCCACCATTGAGCCAAACCCAGTGGATGGTGGGAATGATTCCATAGCCAGACACGGAGCAGAAGATGATGGAGCGCAGCCGGTGCCACTGCTGTGTGAGGTAACTAGGATGGATCTGAGCAAAAAACACTGCCAAGATCATGGCCAGCACGGTGATCAAATACACCTGGCGCCAGTACTGAGGGAAAGAGAAACAAAGGCAAGTCTGTGGGTTTCTTATTCTGTGTAAGAGTCAACTCTGGGCAGGAAGTTTCAATGACAGATCACAGTGATAGATCAAATCTGTCCCTGCTGCAAGCACCACAGTGGGTGTGAGTGCAGGGACTTGTGGTGGTCAGCTGGCAGTGAGGGGAAGGGACTGTATTGCTCGGGGCACCTACAACACATCCTTTATTCCAAGCAGTGCCTGCACCCAAACACTGTCAATGCACCTCTGCCTTAGCAGCCCAGTTCAGCTCCCTGACAGTGTGTACATGGCAGGCCTTGGAAGGGAACTCATTTCACTCCTCTATTAGATGGAGAGAAAACAAGCTTGTTTCTGCCTCCTGGCAGCTACCTTGTGGGCAACACTGTTTGAAGTGCCTGTGGTGGGACACATCCCATGATCGGCCTCGGGCACTGGACACAGGTAGGACCTGTAAAGTTTCCCTGCTTTCAGAGAAATTTAAATATTTTCTTGAGGCTTTGTGCAGTTGACATCTGGAAAGGAAAACCTCCATTTGCCTGTCCCTTCAGCCAGCACAGTTCTGCTGGGGCCAGAAGGACACGTTTCAGTTCCTACTCCTCTCTCCCCACTCCTGTTCTGCTTGGACACCTGCCACAAATCCCCTTCCTACAGCATGAAAGCAACAACAGGACGACAAGAACTAAGCGCTGCAAGGACAATGCTCCTGACTCACGTTACTGCAGTAGAAGGCATAGAACACGCCTGACACGTAGCAGCCCAGGATCCCGATGGAAATTCCTGCGTAATCCAGTGCCATCCATCGCCGGCTGGTCTTCTCCGAGCGGTGACAGCAGAACAGGTGATATCCTACTGAGCAAAGCATACAGACCTACACAGAGGTTCAAATGAGGATGATTAATTCCTTAAACACCAACAGGGAGCACACAAGCTTCAGCCCTGCAGCTCGAGCTGGCCGCTGGGCCCCGGCACATTGTGCGGGTGTTTGCTCCTAGGCTGGCATCAAATTCTATCCTCGAGGAACGTTTGTTCCTCCGTGGAACAAAGGAGGAGGGAGGAGCACAAGAGCAGTGCTTTTCTAGCCAGCGAGGGAGTTTTTCCCACTTCTGGCTGTACCCAGGCATCCTGTACTGGCAGAGACCACACGTAGTGCCCTTCAGCTCTGTGCTGTTGCAGGGCCAGTGTCCATCACAGGAGCCTCAGCAGCCACATGTGACACACCTGAAGTTTGCTGTGGGAACACATGTATCTGACATAGAAGCTCATGCTCAGACCAGCTCAGAAGTCAAAACACCAGCCCTCCTGCCCTTCCTGACCATCAGGCCATGGCTGATGCCCGTGCTCCGGTGGGAAGCCCTTTCCAGCAGCACCTGATGCTGTCTGGGAGCTACGTCAGACACCTCTCAAGCTGCTGGAGCTCCGAGACACAGCCCTGACACGGCCCTTGTTTTTCCACAGGCTCTCTCCTGTGCCAGCTGTGTTCAGTCCTGCCCGGTTTACTGCAAGGAGATGAGACCGACCCACCGAGACTTGTCCCTTGCAGAGCAGTGCGGTTCAAAGGGCGCTGTGTCCGCACGGTGCGAGGGGCTTTAACCCCCCGGGGCGCTCCCGGCCCGCGCCTACCTGGAAGCAGAAGAGGCAGACGGAGCAGATGACGAAGTCTTCGCGGGAGGCGCCGGCGGCGGGCAGCACGGCCGTCAAGTCGTAGATGCCTAGCGTGAAGAAGAGCAGGAAGCCGAGCAGGTGGCTCCAGATGTTGACGGTCTCGTTGGAGAGGATGAAGAGGCTGCGAGGAGACACAACGCGGGACAGGCGGTGAGCGGGGCCCGGGGAACCGGGGGGGCGCGGGGCGCGCTCACCTCTTGATGCAGAGGCGGGAGGGCAGGTAAGCGCGGTATCCGTCGGTGATGTAGGGGTTGTCCTTCAGGAACACCGGGATCTGCTCGTACGTGTACAGCCGGATGCCGCGGGGCACCAGCACTGGCCAGTACTGGTAGCTGCCCAGCTCGATGTAGTGCGCGCTGCGCAGCAGCTTCTGGTGCATCCTGCCCGCCGCCGCATCGGCCCGTCCCGCGCCCCCCTCGCGGGCCAGGGACCGGGACCGGGAGCGGGATCGGCCGTGGGATCGGCCGTGATGGCGTCACCGCGCGGCGCCAAACGATGGCGTCATCGCGCCGCTCCTCCTCGCGCGGCGCCGCAGCGGCCGCGAGGGGGCGCCTGAGAGCCGCCGGCGCCGCCCGCGGCCCTTCCGACCCCAGAGATCCTCCGGGATCCGGGACCCCTCTGACCCCCGGGAT